GGCCAGCGCCAGAAGGCTTAATGTGGACGGCAGCAAATCTGTCGCTCCAATCGACAAAGTCTACTCTTGCCGCGCCCATCGAAAAAGTGCCGCGTCACGGCGCCGCGCAAGTGGCCGCGCGCGCGACGGCGCCAGTCCCGGACGATTCTGTTGCACGCTCCCCGCAGAGCTTGGCTAGCTTGTCCCGAGCGGCGGCGGGGTCCAGGTTGTTGCTTTTGAAGGGCCTCAAAGGTCCTCAAAGCAAGCGCGGTCGGAGTCGGAGACCTTGAAGACTTCAGGAGGCAACAAACCCTCTTCGGGGTGCATTGGCAAGAAGCGCCTCTCAAGAGCCATGAGCTGCTACCAGTATGCGAACGCACGCGGCGGATGGCGCTGATTTCCTGCTTCTGTAGTGAAGCGATTATCGCTGTGTCTCTGAGTCTCGGTTAAGGCATCGTAAAAGAGGCACAAATACACGAAAGAACATCTGCATATAGACAGATTCGTCTACTCATGCGGTTAGCATAAATATTATCGAATCGATTCGGCTGACTTTTTGTGCCTGCAACTCCTCTTCAATATGTTCTACGTCCGTCATCAGACCTTTTTTTCTCATTTGTTCTTACAGTTATTGTACTCACCTCTGACTTCTCTGCACAGTGTTCGTAGATTTTCTTCACCTTCTCTGAGTCAATACCGCTCTCCATAAGAGCTATGGTGGATTAGCATTTTGAAATTGTCCTCGTCTGCTGCTGAGTACTCTGACCGTGTATTCTTTATAGCGTTGGAGAACATTTTTGAGCGTAGAGGAGCTCAAGATTATTTCTGCTTCATGGAGTGTAGTGCCATTTCTGCTACTACTTTGTTTCCGTTTTTTTTAATTCTAATTGAGATCAACTCCGGGTTCTATTCGCGAAGGACTTAAGCTTCCTTCTTTTGAGAGCTTGCTTCTAGCACTCGATTCGTGCAAAAGTCTTCTGTTTTTTTTTTCTTTATATAGAAAAGTTGCTTCGTGTATCGAGTACACGAAATTGCTTTCTAATTTCTTTAGGTGTACTGAAGACTTTTGGTTTTCTTTATTTGGAGTAATTTGCTCCATGTAATGAATACAGGAGACTTTTGTTTGCTGCAAGTAGTGTATACGGCAGACTTATTTGGTCCAGGTATTGAATACGGGAGGCTTGTCCAAAAATTGGGGAGTTGGATTTATCTGATCGGCTAGACAGCTTATTCTGCTGTAGTCTCTCGCCTCAAAGTTGCGACGCTTTAACACGGGAGTAGTTGTCAGTGGCAATTAAAATGTTGAAAGAGAGTGAGAACGATGAGTACCCAACGTGTTCATCGAGTGAAATGTCTTAGTAAGTTCCGTTGATATCGTATCTCTGCTTGTTTGTAAAATGGAGGCCCACCGTCGCCAGACGTGAAGTTGTAAGGGATCATCGTCGGGGTCGCGCAGACGATGATAAATTGGTCGCTCAGTCGCAACGCAGTCCGTAGGTTACGTTCTACTGCTAATGTGCCACATGAGAATGCACAGGTGCAGTTCTACCGTCAATATTCTCATACACTTATACTTTGGCGCAATGCCAATTAATACGCGCTTCAAGTCCTTTCGAGTTTGTTAAGAAAGTCAAAATCTGGCCCGTTCAAACTCGCAATTGTTGACAGGTTGAAACACTCCGTCCGTAGTTGTCCCATCCTCCACCTACTTTTCTCCTTTCACCTCCTGATGCCTTTTTGCGCCCATCCGTCATCTTTAAATGAGCAGTGAACTCTTTCTTCAATGAATTCAGTAGAAAATGGAATAGGTATACTGAGCACTTTTTCTTCAATGAACTACACGGAGTGAGTTTCAAATCCAAAGCGCCAGCGAAAAACTCGTCTAAAAACTCGCCCAGCGTTTTTTTCCCATGTAGGGTTTAGCGATGATTTTACCCCTTACAATGGGAAGACAGCGCAAATCCACTGGCAGAAGAGCAGAATAGTAACAGAACAAAATGAAGTGCATACCAGCACAGAATAGAATAGAAGGTACGAGAAATAATACAGCAGAACATTGTAGCGTGAGTCAAAGGCTGATGGGAAACGTGCCAGACCGTCACGCATGCACGTATCCCACTCGAATTTCTGCGCGCGGCAAGGTGATTCAAACCTCAGTACCTTACGAAGGTTAGACGGTATCGATTAGTTCGTCGGTGGGCGTGTCACGTCGACAGCAACGCGGGGACTGCCATGGCAAGTCGCCAGGGGCATATCCTTCCAACAAACTGCATTATCGGTGCACACTCTGACGGGGTTCCGCCTGTCTTTCCACTAACCATAAGTAAGTTCCGCTTTGAAATCCAACCTTATCGTGGAATCTTTCTCCAAATTTTTCAAAGGCCGGCCCCTTTCGGGATACTCCAAGCCTTCAATCAACACTTCAACTCTCATTCTTTCTAATCACTTCTTGAAGGCATGGAGGCTTCTTGGAAAAGCCACATGAACATGGGCTTTCTTTCCTGACAGGGCATCTAGTCGAAGAAAAGTCACGACCATCGTGGGCTGGGCTCAACTTACCTCGGGCGCGCTCAACACACCTGAGTCATTGTTGATCTCTGCTTTTTTCTGGTCACTAGGTTGTCTTGGAACCCCCATGAAGCATGCAGTAAAACCGTCCATCTACTTCAATTTTGCCTCACACTTCGAATCCGCTGCTTACCTTTACCGATGTTTACCAGCTCTCTGAACTGTCTGAACCAAATTCGGATATTTTGTACACGGCGACGCCTACTTCTTAGAATGCCCACTCCTCACAAGAGACCCCTTCTTGTAAGTGTTGCTGCGTACATTTTGACCCATGCCTGATACTAATACCAAATTTCGTGACACATGAATAGACAGATAGCGTTTTATAAATGTTAGGATATTTACACGGTCTCAAGGCTCCATTATTAAATTGAACCGATATTCTCAAATTCATCGGTCTGTAGAGACTAGCACGCATATATCAACAATTAACAATAAATGAAACAGGCGAGTATACCCGCCGGAAAGAAATCTTTAGTAAGTACAACATGAAGCAATAGTAAATCAAGGCAATCATTGAGCTGACTGATAGAACGCGTTGCTCCTCAAAAAATCGTAGTTGCTTCCCATACAAACAACAAGCGATTATAGAAAATAAAGCCAAGAATTCATAAAAGAGAGCCGTTCAGAAGGCCAAAGTTACCTATAACATAACCGTAAATGTCCTAGTTAGTAAAATTAAAAGTATGCATAAGTAAAATTTGATGAATGATGCCATGAAACCATATGATAACAGGTTCTGCTGATCAGATCATTCGTGTGTAGTCGATAGCGGAGTGGTTGCTCTCCTTGGACGATTAGGCTGCTGAGTTCTGTTATGCTTAGGAGATGCGGTGTCTTGCCGAGAGTGAGGAACTGGAATTTAAGAAATGGGTCTTAGAGGAGGACAGTAACAAATGTAAATAAACAAAGGACTACCTATGCGCCGTGAATGAACTCGCAACTGATTGGATCTCAGACGCGTCGTCTGTGAAATCCGGAATTGGAGACTGATGGCCATCTAACGAGTACTGCTCGAGGTAGCTAAAATCGCAGTTTACACTCTTCAAGAAAAAAAAGAAGCAAGAGTTATTACTACCGTTGAACAGCATCGAACGCATCTGAGAGTCGGTCCAACTGCTCGTTGAGAGTTTCGCCTTTTCGAGGAGGATCAGCAGCAGCTGCTAAGAGGTCCTCTACAGAGACAGACAAACAGCCTTTGTTTTGTGACCTTGAATGACTTCCGTTGTTTTTCGAGGGAACACCTCTACTCATTCTAATTTTGAAAATCAATTTACCGTATCAGCTCTATGCTCTTTTTACACTTCTGCGACAGCATGTCCACGGCACGGGCTAAACCGCTCAGCTGCTAAAAATTACACTTGTCCTTAGAGAAATGAGGTCTACGAAAATAGAAACTACATACTTTGCCACTTGCACGGCTGCTCTGTTGGGAGAGCCGCGAGATATCTTGTACAACTCCACGAGAGTACTCGGCAATTACTCGTTGACTCGCATGCTTCTGCCTCCTCGATCGCCAAAGACTCTTGAGATCTGTTACGTGTGATTTCTCCGAATCGCTCTCTCTGTAACAGAACTTACTTGACAAACTAGGAAATGGTCGCCAATACAGTGCCTTCTCAAATTTTGGTCAATTCAAAATTATTGACTTTGAGGGATGCATACATGTACAACGTACCTTAGCTGGTTTGCCTGCAACCGGTCCAACATGGAAAGATATCGATCGATTCGACACAAACTGCTCTCCTCTGAAATTTTGAACAAAATATTAATTCTCCAGCTTCTGCTGTGTAATTCGAAAATTGATAATTTCTCAACACTTATTTCCCCGTTCCACAACTTTACACTTTCGAACTGACAGGTGGATACATGCATTATGAGAAGGAAGGAAGTAAAACAGAATGCAAGTATGAGAGGAAATCAACTTGAGATATGCAAGGGTTGCACTGGACATTGAATTTGAAGCCCTGTTGGTTCGTTTATACGTAAAATTCAATCTGAGTAAAAGGCACAGATAGACTGACCACAAGAGTTTCTTAAAAAGAGTCGTCCACTTTACACATCACGACCACTACAATTAACCTACCGTTCGGTGTCGCTGTTGTTTGATAATACGGAAAGATTAGTATCGCTAAAGATACAACGAAATATGGTCTGCACATTGCAAGCGCACTTTCTTCATCACCTCGCCACTTTTGCTAATTCAACGTATTCAAACGAGGAACACACCTAGCTTTCAGTTCCTTTGCCTTCCTAGCTTCCGCGGCAGCCTTCATTGGATTATAATCCTTCCGGCGAAGCCAGGCATTCATCTCCTGTTCTTTCTGTTGGGCAAGATTTGCGCCCTTAATCACTGACTATTAGACAAACCGAAGAAGGGTGAATGGAAACCCAACTTACAGGTGTTCGCAATGGAGCTGTGCCGGCTCTAAATGGTGGTCTTCTAACATTCTGCTGAGGACTTGATGGTGCTACTCCTGGAGCATTACCTCGCATGGAGTATCGGCCACCGTCACCTCTTCTATAAATAGGCAATTAGTTGACATCCACGGAAGCTTACAATATGTAGCACAATATCTAGGGTAACACGCAAGACAAATTCTCTATTAAAGGCTTAGCGTCGAAGACGGGGAATGATAGTTCAACCTATAAATCAAACATTCCGTCATGCCTTGTCACACGAGAAAAATCATGTACTTCTTTGCCATGCCTCGTCGTTCACGCTTTGTATTCTCATTATAGCAAGGAAAAGTTTCTTCCGAACGCACTACCAAAAGCAAGCAAAAAAAAAGATAGCCGCCCGGCGTTTGACAAATCGCAGCATTAACTGAAACGGCAAGAAATGGACAAGCAGCACATAAAACTATAGGAAAAACTGTATGATCATCGAACTTCAACAGCAAGCTTGTATGCTGTTGCCGTTCGTGTATGACCAACACATCGTGCAAAATATTGAAGAAAACATAAACTTATCCCACGTACGTTTCGCTTTGGCACCTCCATTTCCTGTGAAAACGTTACTTATTCAAATTATGGTTTGCCTTCACCCTTATTCCCTCGTATTTCTATCAAAGTGAGTGATAACCGAAAAAGATGCACAATTCCTTTTACTGACGTGAAACGGGTACTGCCAGCAGCTTAAGTAAGGCCCTGTATCTGTTATGTTTATACTCCATCTCGAAGTCTGATTAGACGTGTCCATGGCTTTGTCGCGGCGACCGCTGCACTTGACAGCTTGCGCGGATAAGCTGCTTCCAAGCATGCTTTGCTGATATCCAGCGGAGTACGGAGCCATAACCAAGAGTTGAGGGTAGGCGTGTCACCGGAACAGCCGCACTTGATAGAAGTCGCGTGGATAAGCTGCTTCCAACATACATCGCTGGATATCAGCAAAGCATGCTGGCAACAGCTTATCCACGCAACTTCTATCAAGTGCACGTCACTTCCGGTGACACGCCTACCCCAACTTTCGGATATCGACTGTATGTTAGAAACAGCTTATCCACACGGCTACTATCAAGTGCGGTGACGGATACGTCAAATCCACAGACACGCCTAATCTGACTTCGAGATAAGGACTGCAACTAAGAGGGGCTCATGAAGCTGTGAAAGTCCTTCCAAATGCATCAAAAAAAGGTATATCGATGGACTCAAATTGCTACACATTTCTTTCAACTATACGTACTAGGGTGCTGCTTTAGTTGCTAGGACTGAACCACTCGTTTCACGCCAGTAAATACCCTTCGTATCCGGCAGTCAGGTGTGTGTCCACTGCAGGCTTAACAATACAAGTGATGACGGCCTCCACGAAATTGAAAATCGTCATAAGAGCTTTCTTTCAGCGAAATGATTTGCCGGTTGCAATTGTATTCTGATTGTCACTAATTACAACTATCATTTACCAACTATCAGCTATCATCATGAATTACCAGTTATCAGATCCAATGGAGACCGCCGTCGCTCGTGTTATAGAGTCTGTAGTGCAGACTTCGCTGCCGCCAGATACAAAGGGTAGAAAGTCTATATGACGTGAGAAGTATGCAAAAAACCATTAAAATACCTTCGTAATAAGCAAAGGGAGAAAAAAGTGTATGCGTACCGGAAGGGGGCGTTTGACGTGGAAGCCGACCCAACTCGAGATGCAGCCAGATTGGATCTGTTCGATGGCTGAGCACCTAGCGAAGCCCTCCCAGTGCATGGACGTGGTAGTTGAGGGGGAGTTGCTGGGCCAGGACGTGAATTATCGTACACACCAGATGTGCGAGCTGTGTTTCCAGCAGCTAAAAAACAAATTTGCTTACGCAAAGTAAAGTAACTACGGGTGAAGCCGCTCTAACTTGATTTTAAGCATAACTTCGCTATAGGTCGGAATTTAAAGAATTATTGGAATAAGTTGAGAGACAAAAAAAACCGGCTGCCGACTTACAACGTGATTCCGCTGGGGACGCCGCCGCTCGAATTCCAGCCATTGTACGCAATTTTGACATTTCTTTCGCTAAATCGGTGCGTTCACCAGTGGATGCTTCTGTTTGGCAAAGGGTGCTGCTTTTACAATGGGTGACTTTGGAGGCAAGACTGCAGGCTTTTGACGTGGAATAGGTGAGTCGTCCGACCTTGAAATCGTAATCGGATACATGAAAAAAGATCCAATTCTAGCATTCGACTGACTCGCTGTCACTGCTGCTGCTATCTGAAGACGCATCAGAGTCTTCAATAATTTTTGCCGTCATCAGCTGGCTAGCTGGACCACCACCGACGCGTGAGCCTCAAGTCTGCAAGTCATCACTTAGATAAAAATCGTAGCAATTATATTCGAGATAGTTAACACCCGTACAACGGTACAAACCTACCGACTACGTAAGTGCCAGCCTCGCTAGACACATCACACTCTTTGCGATCCTCAACGTCTGCCCCTTCAGGATTTTCTTCCGTATTTTGACCTAAATGCGAATGTAAGCAGGGTGACAGAAAAAGGAACACTTTGACACTTACATAATTACACTGAAACTGTGGTACCTATGATCTATTCAAAACTCCAAAGGGTTCCTGAGCTTCATTGTGTTAATTTCTTTGCCATCAATTGAAATGAAACTCTTCAAACAGGTTTATGGGACGACGTTTCGGGCCCTTAAGCCCTTCTTCAAGTCTACCAAAACAAACATGCCAATTCGTAATAACCCCCATCGTTCGAAATTGCAAATACAATGAAAACCGAAAAGGGAGTCCTCACTAACTGAGCAATTCTTATCAAAAATTGGTAATGAAGGCGGGCGGCGTCCGATGACTTTATATTCGGTAGATCTTGGAACAGCTAAGGTCCGGATACCGTCGTCCCATAACCTGTTGAAGAGTTTCATTTGAATTGCTGGGCAAAAAACTGGAACATTTACTTCATTCTCACACACTCTCTATGAGTTAACTACTAGAGGCACACTTTTCACGTACTCAGATTTTCGATTTGAGAACGCGTTTTGCCAATAGCGACTAATAAACCGAAAGCAGCGAATATACACCGCGGTGCACAATAGATTGCACCCCATAGAAAACCTAATTTTCTTGAGAGCCGGAAACTTTTGTTGCTTCTGCCTATACTATAGTTTAGAAATAGACGAAGGAATAATATCTGTGATACTTATTTGACATTACGACTTTTTTAAAGTTTGTGACAACAATTTTTCACTTTTTGAGGCGGTGCATAATAGATTGGACGATATGTATTGTGGTTCATAAAACAAGACCTAAAGTCTGCTCCTCCCACCTAAGTATGAGGGCAGCGTTCCTTCTTCTCAGTGAGCTTGGGACTGAAATCAGATTTTGAATCAGCGCATTCTAATGCAGCAGAGGCGGTAGAGTTTCCACTCCTTTGTAATGGTATTTCTTAGCGGCTGAACATTGTCATACGCTTTCCCATCTTACGCGTCAGTATACCCTATGTATTCCCGATAGGGTTTGTATCAGAATTACATACCGGCGATGAAATAATGGGTTGTTGTTAGATTGAAAGTGGGACAGAGTGCTTCACGGAGTGTGGTTTGAAGCGTTCTTTTGCACGAAGATGAAGTGTTTGTTGAAGTCTCAAGAAACGAATGGTACCAACGTGTTGTTGAGAAGTGACTGATAGTTATGGCTTCTCATTCACAAGAATCAAAATGAATCTCAAGGCTACCATCACTAGAGGATGCCCAGCCAAACCATTTAGGAGAAGGCACCGATGTTGCTTCGAGGCACCAGTAGTGGTTCACTTCTGCAAGAGCGCCAGTTCGAGTGCCGTTAGCACGACTCATCTCCGCCGACCAAAATGTCATCGAAAGAAATTACCGTAGGGAAAATAGAAATGAGAAATTTAAATTTAGTATAAAGCTGGAAGTGTGCCCAGAACACTCCGCTGCCCAATTTCTGTTATTCTCAATCCTCGCAAGAGGGTGCCGCCCATGTCGACGTATATGAGTCAGGCGTAGTGTCGGCTTTACTTTTTGTCGAACTATGTGGTCCGATATTTTCAACATACGAGACACGGTCCATTTCAAAACGACAATCCCGCAAGCGACAACCGATTCATAGGCAACCTTTGTGGAACTCAATGCCAAATTAATCAAGCAGCGCCTGCCGCGCTCAGGAACAACTGACTTCTGTACCACCTTGTTCTTAAGAACAGTTTGAGAATGATTCTTGATCACAGTTGCAACTGTACTCCTGGGAATGAAGGGTTCCTTAGAGATTTGGAGATCACCCTTGTCAAGAAGAAGTTACGCTTCACTTCGAATCCAGTCTTCGTTTGTGAAACGCGTATACTTCACATAATACGTGAGTACATGCAAACTTAAAAAGCAGGCAAAAAAAGTCGGAAAAATGGAATATCTCAAATCGTCCAATCTATTGTGCACCGCCAAAAAAATCAATATTTCACTCTAAAATTTTTCAAAGACAGTGTGTCTAACTGAATATTGTCAACATTATTTATCTACTTCCCCAGGAAATATATCAACAGCAGAATCAATAAGTCATTCGGCCTCCGTCCCCAATAAACCCAGACAATAAAGTTTTTATAGGGTGCAATCTTATTGTGCACCGGGGGTATACATGAGATGCATTCCAAGTGTTCCCTTTTACTACTTCTCGAAACACTTCCACTTGATTGTCAAGGATGAGGCAACCACTTGCAAATATAGGTATTAACAAAGAGACCGTCAGCCTCGAGATATTAAGCAACAAATGACTGATACGCTTAAACACCCTCACTTTGCAGCATCACAATTTATTCAGTACATACGTTTGTTGTCGCGTTATTCCTTGAGGGAATTCGGCGCGCGTTAGACCGCTATCCTGACTACCTGATGAGGTAGCAGAACCTCCACCCGAGCGACGACCAAGGATTCGGCGAGCCTGGAACAACTTAGGTGAATACCAGTTTGAAAAGGAGCGAACGACCCTGTTTCAAGTATGTCGCTGGAAATGAAATACCTGAGCTGACTTCCTTGCCGCATCTTGAAGAGAAACCTCTTCGTCCGCCGAATCAAAATTGACGGTAAATGCCGTGGCCGCAGCGCGTGATGGCGCTGTAAAAAACATCGTTTCAATTGGCGGCTCATTTACTTCGAAAACACGACTGCTAAATGAGCATTGAAATTTTCATAATCTCTCTCCTTATTTTGTTTCATCAACTTTTGCACTCCTCTTGATTCCATTACCATACTTCATCAGACACGAGAAAAGCTGCGATTTTGTTCAATTTCTACATATTTATATCCAATTCAGTTGCGATAGATCTATGGGATGAGAATTACTGCAAGAACTCCTCCAGTTTTGAAAATGGATTAAGCACAACAACTGCTTTAAAGAAAATGTTGCGAAGCAAGGTCAATGAGTCGCAAGAAAAGAGAATTGTCCTAATACCACCGAATACAAAAACCCAGTAATTTGAAATTTTGAATCATCATTTTGAAACTCCATCTGTGATCGATTTTCTTCGAAAACGGGCATGAAAGGACATGCCACCAGATCCAGAGTCTGCTTCAAAGGTGCTTTCATTGTGGGTCGTCCGATCGTAACGATCGGTACGATCGGATGACTGACCATTACTGTGACTAATTTATGAATACTTTTTCGCAATACATTCGATCGATCGCAAAAAGTAATAAGAATGAAAATTTTCTCGAAATCCCTACAAAAAAAGTAATTTCACATCGGTTGCTACAGTTTAAATTTTCATGCCTAATCGACTTTCTTCTTATATTTATTTTCGTGCATTTAACAAATCCACCTTCGCTAACAAACTTCGCCTGTCTTGCCTAACTATTCCACAACACCTTTCCCTGTATTGGCCCGACCACACTCACTCCACAATGGATAACAACGTCCCTTTCTTCTCTATCTATATGGATAAATTGATTACGACGAACAAACGAGGTATGGCATACGTATGAATAACGGGCAATCAGGCTGTGTAAACAAGTAGGAATTGTGCACAAATGGGCGGCAGAAAGTAACGTCACCATGTATAAAAGGTTCCTGGTGTTTCAAGTACATCATACACATCCCCTAGATCTTTCTCTCATGTCGTTTTTGTTTCACTCTGGTAATTTGCTGAGATCGATATCCATGCGAACAGATCGGGACGTGGTCGCTAAACACGGACGTACTCACATCACAAAAGCGGGAATCACAACGGTAAAATGCACTACACAAGGAACCCGAAGCATACATAGGAATATACTCAAAGAACAACAAGTGACCTCGAATAACTAACGTTTTGGTCTTGGTGCTTCATCTTCGCCTACTTTACTTAAATCTATGTCCATTCTAACGGGGCCTTGGCTGGAAGCTGTCGAGTGCGCGTTAAATCTGACTCTGACAATGTAGAAGTAGGCGGCGATGACCGTGGGTGAGCACGAGGACTGTTAATGGAGAGAAAACTATAAGAGGTGCCCTATATAGAGTAACCATAAACAACACCTTTCAACATCGGTAAGAGAATCGCCGTGCTCATCTTGATGACGACCCCACCAAGGTGGAGGCCCTCCGTAGAGAGGAGTCCGCTCAGTCATCCGTGCAGCTTCACTGCTTCGGTTGAACACTTCGCTGTCCGCAGCGCTACCTCGGTAATATGCTTCAGATCTAGCATTGTCGCCGTTAGACACACGAGAGAAACTGTCAGTAGAACGGCCAAACTCTCCGCTCCCTTGTCTTCGAAAATCACCAGACAGGCGCTGGAATTCAGAGCTCGAACGGGTGACATCTCGCCTGAAAACTTTACTTTTGAAAACTGTACTCTTTTGCATTTCAGTACTACTCAAAAGCAAAAATGAAAGCACCTGAATCCATCCCTTCCACTTTCAGGATCTTCAGGCTGACTGTTGGGACTGCTGCGCTGAGGGTTTTGTTGCTGGCTAAAAGTTGCTATCGAAAAATACATATCTTAACAATTTGAAGACTAATTTTCTATAATTTTGGATGAAAAGGAAGAATGTTCTCTGGCAACATACCGGTATTGAAGTGGAAATGATGCAGCTGCAGTTGTTGGAATAAAATTGTGGGGAAAAATCCAGATTGAGTGGCCAAAGAAATTGAAGGCGAGGACGGTGGTGGATCCTCTGGAAAGGCAGAATTGAAAACCAAAGTTGCACCCTTGAACAATTACAGAACTTGAAAGGAATGTTTCCTAAAGTAGACAAAGTCTGATGCAATATTTCCCGGTAGCATTTTGGAGCTCGCGTAAGTTTTACGTTTTGCGGCAGCGTGGAACCACTATGATTTTTTTAGGGCTTCCAAGTAAATTAGAAACAAAATCAAGATTAGAGGGCTGTTGGCCAAATATGTAGGTGTAAGACCCACTAGGTGTCTGAACATATAGAGGACCACATGGTTTCGAAAGTGTTCGCAAGGATTCAGTTATCGACATTTGATTCCAACAACGCAACTTCCCTCTTGAAAGGGTATCAAGATGAGAACATAAAAATTAAATCAAAAGCAGAGAAAATCGCGCCTCCTAAGAGCCTCACCAAGTCTTCTATCATCGTCTCTTCTGCTAATGTCTTCACTTGATGCGGTGCTCTGTGCATAACCTGGTCGAAAACCGTACGGCCGCTGCTGGTAAGCAGCTAGTGGAACAGAATATTGGGCTTGAGGTGGTGCTGACTGCATCACATAGCCTGAATACATCATTTTTTAGGTATGATATTCCACTACTTATTCGACTGAATTTGATAAGCGCCGATTGTCACAATAGTAGAAAGCGCATTACTGTGCAAACTTACCCTGTGTTGGAACTTGTCCATAAGGATAATAGACCGGTGTTGGAGGTGCTTGAAAGTACATTGGCTGGACAGCAGGTGGGAAAAACGTTGCCTGTGGCACAATATAGTGTTGTCCGGTTGCTGGATCAACAAGCACTTGTCCTTGAATGGGAATACCTGAAAAAGGAACCATTAGGCACTATAATAACCCAAGTTCACTAATCCAACTTAATGGCCCTGCTTTCGTGCAAGGAGGGGATGTCCATGATATGAGCACTAGCTGGTAAGCTCTGCTGCTTCTAAAGGAAAAAAACGCTGAATAATGAGGGCCCCCTAAATGATGATAAGATACTGGCTGCCACTTAGATATAGGTAAGGTTTTCGGGTCCATTTCAGTTAGGTGAGGCCTCATAATGCAGTTTTTACAGAAAGCTAGGGTAACTCCGAGCCAAGGGAGAGTGTAGCAAGTCTAGGGGGTGGTTACTTGACATGCGTGAATATCTGGAATTTTGGGTTCACACTAGTTCGCCGAGAAACTGCATCATGATGCCCCCTAACTGGAATAGACCCAATTTTTCAAACAAGAGACTCCACTTATACAGATTCTCTGACGATACATCAACTTTACACCATACACATTGCATGCAGAATGCATTCGTTTCCGCGTGGTCACGTGCGCCACATGAGCAGCATGAGATTCATGTTACTAATGTTGCTATAGAGGAAAAAAAAACGCCACATTCAATGCATTCAATTCAACGCTACATTTCATTCATTCATTTCGCTACATTTAATTTCGAATGGGGGAAGATTAGGGTCTATTCCAGTTAGGGGGGGGGGGAGGGGGGGCATCATGATGCAGTTTCTCGGCGAACTAGTGTGAACTCGAACATTCCAGCTTTTCACGCATGTCAAGTGACTGCCCTCACCCCCCACCCCCGTAGACTGGCTACACTCCCCTGGCTCGGAGTTACCCTAGCTTTTTGGAAAAACTGCATCATGATGCCCCCCTAACTGGAATAGACCCCGGGAGATTATTTTCCCGCTGACCCTTGCCTCCCAGCCGTTCTGCCGAAACCTTTCATCTCCCTGGCTCAAAATTACTTCTTCGCCCCTTGCAATACAAAAGCCAGTCCAAAATACGAAAAAATCACAAGAAAGGGGACATGGTCAAAGTCGCTAGCAGTTTGTAGCTTCTAGGATTCGCCCAGCAAATTCGGGTTCAGATCAGTTCGCGCGCCGCAATGCACCTAAATTAAATTGACCTTGTTCTTCTCAAACTACTGGTAGTAACTCTCATGCCAATTCTCAGAAAAATTCACCTCCTTGTGGAACCACGTGCGGTTGTGAATGATGATAATTGACATCTTCCCTTTTTGATGAGGCGACACTCGGCGGTCCGCGAGGACTGTCCTGTATTTCAGAACCCTAAATATGAACACATGAAAAATAGGAATTTCAATAAATGAGCACTGATCAATAAAGTTACAAAAATAGACACACGCAAAAGGTTTCAGCTTGTAGTCATGGCAGCATATGTGGCTCGGGGGGGGGCACCACGTAACAGCGTCACGATCACGAAAAGCTCAGGTTCAGGACTAAAACTTTTAAGAGACGAGGGGCTCGAGTGTGCTTAAGCAAGCTTCGCATTCTCCGGAGTTCATCCCTGCTGCTTAAGCTTAGTACTACAGCCCTTTTTACAGAGTACCCCCCCCAAGCCACATTGCGCCATCCAATTTATGAGAGCTATCCTCTTCACAACAGTGGGTGATTCGCGCAGAACAAGCTTTTCGTGTGGCACTATGAAAAAATCGCGTGTGGCAATCAACAATCGATTAAGCTAAGCACTTGTGCAGCGTTTTTGGAACTAACGGGAATCACACATCCGCGGTAATTATTCGTTAATTATCACTTAATGACCCCTCAAATCAAAGATCGAAAATAGTCCAAACGCTTGCTCTGTTTCGCACGGTAGGACATGCCGTAATTACAGGCTTTGAACAATCGTGACGTCAGGAAGCATCAGAAATATCCGAAACACGGATATCAGTTCTTTGACGTCATCGCCTCTTGTCTTTATGTCTGCAGTCACGACATGTGCAGCTGCGGGAAAAAGGACAATTGCAATCATACCCACAAATTTTTCACTTCTCCAGTTGCGCTATGTCACATCAATCAATTTGTATACGCTACCTTCCGCAGATTCCGTGAGTCCTCCGGAAAGCTGTGGACGAGCGTGGCCTATTGGTCACGATAGTCTTTTGAGCCCTACTTCCACAATGTGAGCAACACATGTTTGGCGAGTTTTACATAAGCTCAAGTCATGAGCAATTACTACGATAATGATCTCCCCCCCCCCCCCCCCGAGACAGGTGCTATCAAACTTCCAAATCGCAGTTTAGAAACTAGTGAGCGAAAGTGCACTTCATGAACAGCATAAACACGTTCCAGTTCCCTTTCACATTCCGAGAAAAAAACGCCAATTATCTCCTTTGTTTCCAATACAAAACATTCTCGTGACGAAGCTAGTCACATCCGGCACACATTCTTCAGGAACTAGAGGGCATACGATATTTTGAAAAAAAAAACTAGTCTGAACGCCAATGTTTGAGTCAAGTGAGTGTTTCAGCAAAGTCACCTGAGAAAATCCTGTCTCTGAATAGCCCCCACTATTTTTTACTATTGTTTTCGGTGTAAACTGGCTATGTATGAAACACTCACTTGACTCAAACATTGGCGTTCAGACTAGTTTTTTTTAGTTTTTTTTTTACATAGGGACATCCACCAAGGCGCATTCATAGTCGGTCGCACGATCGTAACGATCGTAACGTTTGCGCAAAGTACTGGATGTGTATCGATCGTCGGACGTGCCCTTGGACTAACTATGAATGCGCCCTCAGACATTTATTGTACGTCTCAGAAATGCAGTGTGTGCAGTTACGGCCCAAACGCAGGGTGCGTCGGAGAGAATCAGCACCCACCATTCAAAGAAGGTTTGTCGCTACAAGACGAAATGCGAACCAATAAGCACCAAATTTTCAGGATCTATCCCAGTGATGAGAAACTCGACGAAATAGTATGGAATCGAAGCTCATTGCATTTCGCAGATTTAAAAAGCTGCTCAAGCGGAATTGGGATTACCGTAACCCACATGAACTGTTGTACTGAAATGCCCCTCTTTCTACTGAATTAGCCCTCAGGGTGCAGCACAACCGCAAATGCGCCAAGAAATTCACGATAGGCGGGTGGGATAGAGTATTTTCTGCGACATCACGCTGAACCCTGGAGCACAGTTAGTGAAAAGTGAATCGTGCGCTTTTCCTTATTCAGGCAGCTATAAGCAGTTATACGTACGCTATGAGAATGCCTACTGTAATAGTAGCCAAACTACAATGGCTTGCAGTTAAATCCAAGGATGCGCCATGTACCAGTCAGTTCACATTAATTTTCATCATGATCAAACCCCGGCCATGTGGGAACATCCTTCAGTCGCATTTTCCCGCAACAGCGAACACGTGAGCATTGTGTAATGCAGCGTGATCGTCCACGATAAGTATTGGTTTACAACCCACGTACCTGCTGCATCGTGTCGACGCCGAGGTCTCGACGGCTACCGGCCAAAGAGTCGTTAGAACTCATCATTTCTCGTTCCGGTAATGCGCTTACTGTAAATGGAGAATCACATGAGTCTTCAAAAATCAGAGATCATCTATCCTTTAAACAAAAACGTCACCCAACAGATCGAACTTAAAGGCAGGGGAAAGACTCTTTTTCTTCAATACCGGTTACAGTAATTCTTCACCCTCTGTATTCGGATTGCAGTGCATTTCATTTGTGGTGCCACTTCCACAGTCTCATCTCCATCCCCCTTCCTACCCAGCCCATTTCTTTCTAAACCGGTGGATGCTTATGGAATTAGATATCGATTATGGGAGCGTAAAATCAATACTCATCTCAAGTACAATAACAAAGCTGGTGGGATGGATGAAATCAGCATCGGGGTCTGGCACGGTTCAATAAGTGCTTTTAACTTGAAACTGTTGGTAGATTTTTAAAAGGAATGATGATTCATTTTTTTATAAATATGATGAAGATTAATCATAATCTGTTAGGGGTCATGGGCAAAACACTTCAACCAAGGCGAAGAATCAAACCCATAGCTTTTAGTTTCCGACAGTTGTGCTACCCCCACCTATCACAACATCGGGACACTGTT